CCCTCCGAAGACCCAGCTCTTCCCTTAGGAGGCGCTTTGGTCCTGGGACAAGATCAAGACAGGTTTATGGGAGGATATGGCGAAGACCGTGCTTTTGTTGGCAGACTCACCCATGTCGATGCATGGAATCGTGCTCTGACACCGCTAGAAGTGCAAGTTCAAAATCAGTGCCAGGAGAGCCTTTTGGGGGAAGGAGACTGGGTGGGCTGGACCAAAGCCCCGTGGAAACCGGAAGGCAAATTTGAAACTCTCTCAGGGGATTCTTGCCCGAGCACCGATATCAAAATTTTGTTTTTCAACCAACAGCTCCTCTCCTTTTGGAAATCATGAGACTGAAACTATTTTGCCCCAAAACTCAGAAAGAGGCCAAAGCCTTGAAGAAAAGGATGTCGGCTCACGGAACTCAGTGCAGCTATAGATATTCTTCAACAAGAGCAGCGTGGATAAATGCACGTTACATGCCAGATTCGAGGACGTGGGTGACGGGGGCAGCAGATTTCATCTTGACCATCGTAAAATTGTTCGCACAACTAAAACCGGGGCCATTCAAGTTGGCGATGAGAGGTGGGTCATGGAGGACCCGGAAAACCAGAACTGTTTCGCAGCAGTGGAACCGAAATCTGCACCGGTCTTTTGGCTACGAGGTCTCCAGATAAAAGGTTTCACTGCCGACAGCACGGCCTTTGTCATCACAAGCGCCAACGGTATATCCTTTAGAGGAATGAAAGGCCATTTGATTCGGTATAAAAGAGATAAATGGCAATTAGGGCAAAATGGCAGAATATTAGCCTATTTATTCAGCCCAAACGTACCCATCGGTCGTTTGATCTGGACTCGGTTAAATAAAAACCTAACCCTAACCCTGAGCAGGTGTTCCTCAGAGCAGTTCGTGTGTGATGATGGGTCGTGCATCGACATGACGTAGCGGTGCGATCTGGTACCGAACTGCAGAGACCGAAGCGACGAGCAGAGGTGCGAACTGCTCGACATTCCACCGAACCACATCAGCTCGCTCCTCCCATCACGGACCCTCAAGCCTGGAAATGAGTAATGTTCTGGATATCATCAAAGTCGACCTCCTGGACATGAGCCTGTTCCTGGACATGACTGTGATCATGAGCTGGAGTGATCCGAGCGTGAGGTACAAGAACCTCCGGAGAAACAGAAACGTAAATCAGATATACCATTCACGGGGAAATGCTCCGGTCTGGACTCCCATGGTCACGGTAGAGCCAGGGAAGGGTTTCCCAGTGCAGAAGGTCCTTTCTGTACGGAAAAAATACCAATGGAACAATAGAACAGGATGGTGTGTATTCGGTCCAGCGATGAACACAGATTCATGTTCAGAACACTTATTGAATGTTTTTTTGGCATGAAGAGATCCATATTTTGGAGGATGACAGGATAGCTCTTGCAAATAGTCGTTAATTACTATTGGTTCATGGTCCATAATGAACGCAAATATTTAGGTATAAAACCGTAGCATTTATACTTACTCAATATTTATTTTAGCTATATCATATAACTACAGTTCCTTCCAATAAACTTCAAAAAACAAGAAAAAACCAACAAAACAAACTATATTATATTATATATATATATATATAATATATATATATAATATATATATACATATATATATATATATATATATATATATATATAATATATATATATATATATATATATATATATATATATATATATATATATATATATATATATATATATATATATATATATATATATATATATATATATATATATATATATATATATATATATATATATATATATATATATATATATATATATATTGCTGTTCTAGGCTGAAACTAACATTGATGGTTATAATATATTCACTTTTCAGATGTAATGTATGAAGGCAAGGATAATCCACTGGAATTGAAGATTAAAATGCAGCCCAAAGTAAGGTGCATTTTCAAACTCCACTCCTTCCCCTGGGACACCCAACGTTGTTCTCTCGACCTTGTGTTCTCCAATACCATCTGGAGAACCACGAATACCTCGGAGACTTCAGAAGCAAAGATCAGAAACCAGGCTGGAGGGATACGTTATAGAAGAGGTCGCGATGGGCCAGGCTGCGAGATGCAAAGGGAGGTCACCATTTCCCTCGTGCTGAGGAGGCGACGGGCGCAGTACGTGTGGGACAGCTATCTCCCCCACGTTGCTCCTTATGGCCCTCGGCTATGGCACTCTCTTCCTCCCCGTCGAGCCCTTCAACGACCGTGGCACCCTGAGCCTGACCACCCTCCTCGTCCTGGTGGCACTCTACACGGACTCCGGGACCGCGCTGCCCACCACGACCTACAACACGCTCATGGATACATGGTACATATTCTCCATGGCCTTTCTAGCTCTCATTGTGGCCACGCACTTGTTCATCAGCGCGTCCAGGTGTAGTGTGCAGGTTCACGGTCGACCTCTTGCGAGCTTCGATGCCCAAGCCAAAGCCTGGATGCCACAGAGCCCCGACTAA